AGCTGAGATGATCTGTACATCGAAAAATCTATCTAGTATTGAGAGATAGTGGTGGAAAGCAGGGCCAGAAACGTAGGAGTTCAACAGGAAACACGATGAACATGGTCCTCATACTACACCACAACACCAAAATGGTATGAGGATGGAGCTCCTTTGATGCTCTTCTTGGTCCTAAACGTGATTGTTGGCTTGTTGCTTTCAGAAAGCTAGGTTGGAGACCTTGCATATGCCAGTTGCCAACTTGGCTGTCCAGACAGTGAGCCATGAACATGTTGTACCAAGGAAAACAACCACAAGAAACAGACACACTCCTATGTTCAATTCAAGACCCGGCCCCTACATTGATAGGGGCAAGATAGCTCCACATTGTTGTACAAGTCAATATTCTCAGTACATATTGGTGCTTATGTCATCTCTCTTCATTTGATAACCTATGTATTCTCTAATGCCGATAAGATATGGCACTATCAAAATTTTTATGTGGTGCTTGTCCTTTTAAAATGATTTGCATCAAGCTAGCTACCTGGTAATTATAATTGCTTTTAGTTACTCTTATCCATGTTAGTTATGCAAGGAATTTCAATAAATGCATTTACAGGGAGGTTGTCATAATGCAACCACCCTAGGAAAATGCATTTTAATGGGTTATCTTAAGGGAACTGTCCCTAAAAATATTAATGTATTTCTAGGGCAGACGGGTTGAATGGAACTGCCCTTGAAAGTACTTTTAACTTTTAAATTTTCTTGCCATATTTGAATTGACATTCTTCTACCAATTTTTACATGTGCCTACTACAAAATTTTACATATCGTGTGATCCACACTATTTCACTATTTCAAACTCATTATACACAATGGTTACTAACAATGTTATATGCATTAAAACTATATATTAAACACACATTACACATTGTTTACACTGTATTTATAAAGATTCGAGAGGCAAATAGCACGAAGCTACAAAGATTCTCGTTGCCAGTTCCGGGCCAACGCTGCGTATCAGTGCATCTATCTCTATCAGCAGACTGGTTGGCCTCCTCCACAAAACTTTGGCTTCCTGTCTTTGACCCACTAGCAGTACATCCCTCTCTCCACAACCTGGCCATGGGCACAATCAGATTCAGATACCTCTAGTCTCGATGTTCTCTCAGTATAGCGGACTCCTAGAGTCTCAAGTTCTACAGTCTCCCATGGTTTCTCGTCGCTATATTCTCTCGGTCTCTCGGATCGCCATCTTCTTCTACCATACTCACAGTGTTCCCTTGAGTGAGCCACTGCCCCAACACTCAAGGTGCTGACACAAACATGGCCGACACTTCTAGTATTTCACTAAGGCCAGCATAGTGACCATTACGCAGACAAGATCAGCTGAGCAGCAAAAGGCAGACACACCCATCGATGAAGCGCTCGAGAAATTAGGAGATGATGATGTGGGACGATACAAAGGCTGCCAAAGATGATGATGCAGAAGGTAATAACAAGGCAAATAATGTAGAGGATGACAACGAGGACGGTGACACTGATGCCTTTCGGTTTATTGATACTCCCCGCACTGATGACACAACTGCACCTCCTCCACCACCGACCTACAACGCTTAAGTGTCTTAATGGCAAAAGGAGAAAGAAATAGAGGGGATGAGACTTAGGGGGAGAGCATGTGAACTTTTGGGTTAGCTAAAACTTGGTTTTAAAACATTTAGACTTTGATTGGTTGCTTAAACTGTTGTTTGTGTTTTTTTAAAGCTAACCTTGATTTGGTTGTGACAAAGTGTTGTTCATTAAAATTCTATTATATATCTCTTGTCGCTAACACTTGTCATTTAGGAGTTTTCTATCTAAATCTTGTATGAAACAAGTGACAGGTTACCAAGCATGTTTGTTTTTATATCATAACCTTTGCATACTCATGAGTTGGTGCTTTAATTTCATATCTTTATATTTGGAATACTTGTGTTGTCAAAAGTTCCTAAAATAAGGGGAGATTGAAAGCATCTAGGCCCATTAAGGTTCCAGTGACTGATGAAACACAAGTATGTGTGTGACTAATGTGTGTTTTGCGGGATCTAACCACACTTGAGTTTAGTCACAATGAGAATGGCCACATGCACTTGGCCCTAAGATTTGGTTTCAATTGAATATGGCACAAAGGTGAAACATGAAAGATACATTAGAGCGAATGTTAGGCTGAGGGCTTGGAGACATTCACTAGGTATAATGTGTATTAGTGTTTTGTTTTACTTGGGCAGTACTATTAAGGGGATTTGCTAGCACTTAGATTGCATGGAGGAGGACCTGATGACCTTCTCGATGGAGCAATTGTGAGAAGGCTCCAAGATGGTGTACACGGTATTAAAACCCACCATGCCAGAGTGGCGAATGGGTATTCACTAGCAAAATAAAGCTTAACCATGTCTTGGTGGCTTAGGTGCTCTAACGTGGATTGGGGAGCTGTGGCAATAACCTGAGATCATGAAAAAAATCTGGTTCTCTATTTGCCTTGTTCCTTAATTATATTCTTGTATTTATAGTTTCCTTGGTTGCAAGCTTTGTTGAGTGACAACTAGAATGCACGATAGAGTGTGCTTAGTACAGGTTGCTAAGGAATTGTTTAGCATGTTGGCCCTAAGGACTCTTTAGCTTTCTTTGTAGTTTAACTTATTAGGGTAAACAAGCTTTGGGGGTTTAGTTCTTCATAGGTTAAGGTTTATTGCTTAATTTTTTAGAGCTAAATTGGGTCCCTATAACCACTAAAAATATATTTTCAGGGCGGTTTTTCTTATCGTGACCACATCTGGATATGCACTTCTAGAAGCTAGCTATTTTGTTAAATCGAACAGTCTCTAAAAGTATATTTCATTTTTTATTTTTCTCGCCATATTTAATTTTATATTTTTACGCCAATTTTAACGTATACGTACCACCAAGTTTTACATATTTCACTATTTCAAGTCATTATACGTAATGTTTATTAAGTACTGTGTTTAAATCATATTTTATACCCTGTTTACACAAATTATAGTATTTTAAATATTTTATACATTGTTTACACTATATTTACAATGATTAGGAAATCATATATATAGCACCATATATGGGTTGACTGATTCTAGGGAAACACCTCAGATCACAGATCGCATATCTAACCCAGATGTGACCTTATAGTCTCTGAATCCAGCTTCCTTGAATAATTCACTCCACTCTTTCTCATCATGTTCCCAGCCTGGTGTGAGCGTCGAAATAAACAGATCAAATAACATCTGTGTTTCATGGCTGGTTGCTTGCGAAGAGGAACTAACCACTACATCGATGATGATCAACTTTCCTTTCTGTTCTCTGGAACAAATTAAATCGCCTCTTTGCATCGTTTTAGGATGTTTACACGATCCTCATTGTTCCAATCGTGTAGTACTGACTGATAACAACATATAACTATTTCAATCTCAAATATGTGTATAGTTTTCCAAGAATTTTTATTGTTTGACGAGTAAATACTAGTATTGAAATAATTATAATTCGTTGATTTCATGCATTCTCAAATAATAATATTGGTGTATTTTGCAGTAATTGCCCACTCTGATGTTGCTGTGGGAAAGCGGTTGAACCGTTGAAGACCATCCATATCCAGCTTGGCTGCCCGGCCGGTGAGAGACAAAAAAAAAACGTCATGTACTAAAGAAAACAGACCTGAAACAACACACGTTCGGTTCAAGGCCACTGTATTGGCAGGGACTAGCTAGATTGCCCCGTTTCCTTTTAGCGATCACAATTTTTATGTGGTGCTCGACATTTCAAAATGATTCGCATCTAGTACGTGGTAATTATAATTGCTTGTTCCATGTTAGCCGCTACAAGAAATTGCAAGAACAAGGATAAAAGACACGTTTCCCGTATTCCTGTATGACCGTTGTTAAGGTAGATCATATAGCTAGAAGTAAAACCCAACGACCGAAAACGATGACAAGAGAGAGGTGAATGGAAGCCTCAAATTTCTTTCGAAACTTTCAACCACTATCCCAAAATCGACCCCAAAAGACACAACTAAAAGCAATAAAAACACGAGCCACTGGGTGTCAAGAGAACCTAGAGAAGTTCCCTGCTAGAAACCCAACGCAAAAGACGGAACTCGAATCAGAGCACGAACGAGTGAGATACAGACCGAACGGCACAAAACAGGGAACGGCGGATTATCTGCTGCAGCACCTCAGACAGCCCGCTACAGTAACCCCGGAAAATGCATTTAACCGGGAACGGCGGATTGTTGCAGTATAGGAACGCTTGAAAGGGTACTTAGTGGCATGAATCACGATTCACGGAATTGTAATGGCATATTTACAATATCGCGAATAGCAATGCTATATTTTCAAACTCGAAGAATTACGATGGCAGATTCGAATTAACCCCAAATTATAAGTCATTCTAAGAATCTTGAGAGTCAAAGCATCTCAAGTTTAACCAAATTTATATGATAAGATAATAATATTTATGATACCAACTACGTACCATTAGATTCTTCATTAATTATATTTTCATAGTATATCTAGTTGATTTCATAAATCTTTATATAATTTTGGTCAAACTTGAGATGTTTTAACTCTCAAAATTCTTGTAGGGATTTATAATTTGGAATGGAGGGAGTCGCTGTCAACGACTAACAATTAGCTGAGGATCCAAACAGGACTAGCCTAGCTGATCGTTAGTTCTAGTCCATAAAAAAAAAAGGCTAACTACATGATGAAAAGAACCGGTCCTGGTTCTTGTGAGAAGATATTCGAATAGAGCTCATTTAGGCTAATTTTATTTTATCATCCGGCCATTCTAAGATCTTTCCAAATTGGCATGCCACCTAGCTGTTGAGCTGCAGTACTGCCCATCTGCGATCTGTGGAACGGATAGCCGCTCTTCGGCTGCGCGTGCAACACAACTGCCTGCCTGTTCCTTCGCCTCCTCTCCGCCTCCCATCGGCGCATCAGATATCCCGCACAAACCAAGCCATCAGCGCCATGGCGATCTCCACCTGGAGCGCGCGCCTTCTCCTCACCCCTGCTTCCTCCCGCGCCACCCTATGTCCCCCTCGCCCTCCTGCCGCAAACCCCCTCTCGTCGTCCTACCCTCGCAACCGTCTCCACCTCGCGCGACCGCGCCTGCGCCCGCCGCGCGCCTACATCTCCGCGCCGCCGCCGGGCCCCGAGGCCGCCTACGCGCCGCCCTCCCTCGACGCCGCGGCGGCGGCAGCCGATGTCGCCGCCGCGATCTCATCCTCCGACGCCGTCACCTGGGCCGGCGTCTGGGCGCTGCTCTCGCGCCACAGGGCCCGCATCGCGGTCTGCCTCGCCGCGCTCGTCGCCTGCACCGCCTGCACCCTCTCCATGCCGCTCTTCTCAGGTGAGGTACTGGGGGGGCGTTGGTTGCGGCCTCTCTCGGGTGCGCCGCTGATGCTGCTTGTTTGGTTGTCTGAAATGTGCTGGCCGCGCCTTGTGTTTGTGTTGCACAGGGAGGTTCTTCGAGACCCTGATTGGGAGGGGGAATGAGCCACTGTGGAGGCTCTTGTCCAAGATCGCGGTGCTGTACACGCTGGAGCCCATCTTCACCATCATATTCGTGATCAATATGACCATCATCTGGGAGCAGGTTATGGCAAGGCTGCGGAGCCAGATATTTCGAAGGATTCTGATCCAAAAGGTACTTTCAGCCGACATCTCCTGTTTTACAAATGGAATTTTTTGATAATTCTGCATTCTGACAACATTGGATGTGCTTGTATGAATGATGAAATGACATTTGCTGATTACTTGCATGGCTTTGTTGCCTTGACCGCAGAGCTGTTTTAGATTCTCCAACACTTCTGCCAAGTGTAGCTCAAACAAAGTTATCATCAATTAACTTTTTAATACACCTTCAGAGATTGAATTAGTCTTCGCGCCATGATGAAATGATTCACTTGTTTTGCCTCCTAGGTTGCAGAAGCACTTAATACAGTTCTACTAGGTAAATATACTAAGTACCTGGATGATACTAGCAGCAAGTTATGTAAATATTCATGTAGTATCAACACTCCAGTGCAGTAGGCATTGTATGCATCGGTGATGAAATCTTTAAAACAGGTTGTGCTTTAATGTTGCCTGTTTATGCACTAGTAATCCTTTAATGCATAGCCTATTAAAGCTCAATGTACTATGGGTCTATGGCTATTGCTTTCACAGTCATAGCGCATACGTTTCTTTATCTATAGAATATATTAGAGGCTGCATTTTCTCATTACATTTTCAATTTGGCACTCAGCAAAAGAGTGCATTTACTTCTTGTTAATAGCTCCTTGCTTGGAACTCCCTCTAAACTTTCTTATTTTTGCCTTTTGCAGATGTTATTTTTCGATCGTCACAAGGTAATATATTTTCTAGCAATTACAGCACCATCTTCATACTTAATCATGATAGTTACCAAGAAGGAAGAAAACCTCATTCACAAAATACACATCCCCACTTGTGACTTAAAATGTATGTACTTTTTGAAATATCATCAATAGTACTGTAGATTGGAAATAAAGTATATGGTTCTTGTTTCCATTGTTACTGGTAACATGTGATACGTCTTCCATAATGGCATACATACCATTAACATTGGTCTGATCTGTATGATTATGAAGAATTTTACATGATTTATTCAAGATTAGATGAAAAACCAGCTTTCAGTAAAACAAAATGGTAGATGGTTTTAATCATCGTTGCAGTTTATGAAATTGTCATGTTTCCTTGTATTGACCAGTTCTAGTACAGTATCTATTTAGCTTACTTTGTCTACAATGCAATGAATAAGATGCATTTTATTATAAAAAAACATGTTTTAAAAAAATAATTTGTAAATACAAAATTTGTTGATTAGAGCCTGATTGGTTGGCTTCCAAAATTTGCCAAATCAAAGATTTGGCAAGCCATGATTTTGGCTATTATTTGGTTGCCTATCAAAACTTACCAAGCTCTCATATTTGGCTTACCAAATCCATGGCAATTTTTTTTACCTAGCTTTGGCTTGCCAAATCTTTGGCACAACAAATTTTGGTCACAAACCAATTAGATCCTTAGTATGCCAAAATTCCATGTGTTCTAACAAAGTAGTATATGGCAATAGGCTATTTCAATTTGTGTGAAGTTATTACGACAAGAACAAAGCCATTTGGTTGCAAACAAGTTGGGCTAGGCTAGAGTTGCCCCAACATGGGCTACTAACAAAAAAGGAAAAGAAAGAGAAAAATAAAATAAATATATCTAAGGCATCCATAATAGTGATATTATTAGGGAATCTAAAGCCTGCTGATAGTTTGGGCACGTGAATAGCTGCTTTCTATGCACTCCTATCCAAGGGCAATTCTCTAAGTATGATTTTGTTTTTGTCTATGTCTGTCTCAAGTATTAATTCTTAGCTGTATGTATCATCCATGAAAACATATGAAAATGGTGCCCTCTAGACTCGATAAATTGGGAAGAAATTGTCTCTTCATATCTTGAGATAAATATCTTACTGTTTGATGGCAGGTTGGTGAGTTGACTGGTTTGTTGACATCTGATTTGGGTTCCTTGAAGAGTATTGTAAGTGATAACATATCCAGAGATCGTGGACTGAGGGCACTCTCTGAGGCAAGAAACTTTACACTATGAGAATGTAAGGTTGATACTGCTAAATGCTAAGAGTTTGATTAGTACAATCACAACATTTCAGAGGTGTACTAGTATGATATTAAAATGTTCACTTCAACCATATTTGACCTTCTGTTCTCTTGATCATAATACTGAATTAACTTAGTGGTTCATTTACTTACACCTTATTTCAGGTGAGGGTCTGCTAAAACATTTTTCTCCTACTTTTACTTTTCAGATCATTGGTACACTTTGTATACTTTTCACACTATCAACTGAGCTAGCTCCAGTTCTTGGGCTCCTTATGGTCTCCGTCTCCGTGCTAGTTGGTAATCTTCTGAAAACTGGCTGCCATCAGCATGTCTCACTTACTGTTGGGACATAATGATATATGTGATGAATGTAAAATACGTAGCTATTTTAGGATATAATGATAGAATTAGATAGATAATGATGGAGTTAGATCAGATCCATCAAAACCTATACTTCTGTAATTTCTTGTATATACTATGAACTTAAAATGCAATATTTTCTGTGCCGGATTTCTGATTTTGCTTGAGAATGTATTGGATATGTTGACGAACACTAGTGGAAAAGCCCGAATTGAGATAATACAGACAGTTGTGCTGTTTGAGTTGTCTAAACACATCCCCACAAATCATGTTCATTTGTGAGTTTTAATTGTGTAAATGTTCATAATGCAATCACTCTGTATAAAAAGTAACTCCCTCTTTCTGCTGATGTTTTTTTGGTTTTGTTTTAGGTTCTCAGTTTTTTTTTTGGTACAAATTGATCTACTTGCTTCTTGTCTCGTGCATGCCAAATTTACAAATATTTAATACCATTTCTAGGATAGCATAGGATTTATTTTTCATATTTAGCAATGTTATATCATTTGTAGGATAGCATAGGACTTATTCTGAAGTTTCCCTGTCCAACCCACCCGAATATACCTTTTAAGTTATTATGTATTTCATGAATGATTTTTCTTACATTTTGGTGACTGAGATTACTACATTCTTCTAAAGAAATATTTTGCTGAAGTACTATTGATAGTTTTAGTTGCATATCCTTTAACATGCTAGTTTTTGTTTTTTTAATCAGCTATTTTCAAGAGGTCAACTGTTCCCACTTTTAAATCTTATGGAATCTTGCAAGCACGCATATCAGATTGTGCATCAGAGACATTTTCAGCTATTCGTACTGTGAGTGCCATTGTTTCGTCTGAAACATGCACATTTAAACATTAATTCAATTTCAAGGTTCATTCTTTTGTGTTACTGATGAAATGGTTTATCAGTGTTAACTCCTGTGGTTTATGTTATCCTTGATTCAAAAATTCATTTGCAGGTTCGGTCGTTTGGTGGTGAAAAACGACAAATTTCTTTGTTTGACAAATTGGTAAGGCATGAGATGCTTATTATTATTTTCTTATATTTGGCATTCATTGTGGTTTTAAGAAAATTCTTGTGACTAAGGACGATGCAGGTTGAAACAGAGTTGGGCTTAGGTACTTAGCCAATGAGCAAGTTAAAACAGACCCAATTCCCTTGTGAAGTGTGCTTCCATGGGCTTTTGGGCCTAGAAGGCTGGAGCACAGTAGCCCATGCCCTGTCTCTCCCACACACATATTAAAGTAGCGCAGTAGCCCATGTCCCTGTCTCTCCCACACACATATTAAAATACATACTGTCTATCTATGTTCACAATAGAAACCCGAAACTTGAAGACTTTTGCTTCTAAACTTTCACGAAATTCCACATTCCCTGTACCATAGTTTCAGGTCATCTACCATTATACTTAAAGTACCAGTAATCTCTAGTTATTTCAGAAGAGGTTTCCCTACGTGAAGTCGTAGAATCAAGTACCAGACTAATCAGAGTTGTCTTATCTCCCAAACATTTCAGAGTCTCCATGCATAACTTAGCATGTTTGACCATGTGGCACCTCTGTAAAGATGAAATCTTGACCATGCCATGCATGCCTTTGGGACTATCCCTAGGCAATTAAGTGCTCTGGTACATGAAGTTCTTGACAGATAAGTCTAGTGCTCGGCCGCACTTGTATCTTACTTTTCTGCATTTTACTTTCCTTGTTTTCTAAGCCTTTGTAATAGGAATATGCTCAGCATCCACTTTAGTGGTTAGGAAATATGCTAGAGCAGGTAGAAAGTAGATGCTGCCCTCTGTCCATTAAAGTAGGGGCACACCCTTGTATCAAGACAAGCCATTGCATTTCCTTTCAATCCAAGCGGCCAAGGGCCAAGCTGCCCTCTGGTAGTTCCCAAATCTGAATCTGAGATCTATTTTGGGCCAACAACTGATATCGGAGCCTTAGGTTCTTGAGCGAGCAGAGAGCCATGTCCACCGCTAGTCAAATCGCCAGAGCCCACGCCGCTGCCGGCACCAGGGCCGGAGCAGGAGCCAACGACCGCGCGACCCGCCTTGCTGCCACAGAGTGGAGCCTGTTGATGAAGGTCAAGCTGCAGGCCCGGCGGCTATGGGAGGCGGTACACGTTGGCGGCATCAGCTACGATGATGATCGCCGGGCGCTGGAGGCCTTGTGCGCCGCCGTCCCCACCGAGCTCGGCGCCTCCCTCGCCAACAAGGCCACGGTGAAGCTGGTATGGGAATTGATCGCCGCGGCGCGCGTCGGCGGAGATCGTGTGCACCGGTCGACGTTGCAGCGCCTCTGAGGGGAGTGGGAAGGCCACGCCTTTCAGCCAGGTGAGCAAGTCGAGGACTTTGCCCCTCGCTGACCCGACTGATGGAGCAAATGGCACTCAACGGCGACGACCTCAAGCGCTTGCAACAATTCTCCATTGACATCTTGAAGTAATGCAGTAGATCGTCATGTCGATCGAGGCGCTCCTCGACTTGAGGCCGCCGAGGGCGTGGCCACGGAGGCTCAAGCCGGTCGGGACAGATCGGGCCTCCGCCTGGCTCACGCCGCGCGCCAAGGCCGCGAGGCAGGAGGATGCTACGCTCGCCGAAAAGCAAAAAAGGGGGAAGGATCCGACCATCTGGTCCTCCAGAGCGCGCCCGGCGACGCACGCTGCAGCAAGAGGGTGAAAGGTCCAAGATTTCCCCTTTTCGCGCGAAAGCTCGATGACAATCACGGCAACAAGCTGCCGGTCCATTGCCAAGGATCGCCGCCTTCCTCCACATCTCCACCTTGAGGAGGATGCTCTGTCTGGTGCACGCCGCGTCGAGCCACGACAAAGTAGCGGTGAGGAGGGTGAAAGGTCCAAGATTTCCCCTTTTGCGGCCGACTCGCACATCTCCACCTGACACGCCTTCCTCGGCAAAGATCAAGATCGGATCGGTACCTCGACATCGGTGCCACGCACCACATGGCTGGTCGGCGCGAGTTTTTCTCCGACCTGGACTCCGGCGTGAAGGGCTCTGTCAAGTTCGGTGACGCCTCCGCCGTCGAGCTCAAGGGAGTCGGCTCGATCATCTTCAAGGCCAAGACGGGGGAGCACCGCCTCCTCACCGGCGTGTACTCCATCCCGGCCTTGAGGAACTCCATCATCAGCGTCGGGCAGCTGGACGAGAACGGCTCGCGGGTGGTGATCGAGGATGGCGTGCTGCGCATCTGAGATAGAAGCCGCCGCCTTCTCGCCAAGGTGAACGGGGGAAGCAACCGCCTTTACGTGCTTCATGTGCAGGTGGCGCACCCCCTTTGCCTTGCCCCGCGCCAGGACGATGAGGCTTGGCGCTAGCACGAGCGTTTCGGGCATCTTCACTTCGAGGCCCTGAAACAGCTCGGCAAGGAGGAGATGGTCCGCGACATGCCCTACGTCGACCAAGTCGAGCAGCTCTACGACACCTGTGTGGTGACCAAGCTGAAGTGCCGGCCCTTCGCGCGTCAAGCCTCCTACCGCGCCACCGAGCAGCTCGAGCTGGTGCATGGCAACCTCTGCGGTCCAATGTCACCGGCCACTCCTAGAGGTCGGCGCTACTTCCTACTGCTCGTCGACGACACCACCCGCTACATGTGGGCCGTGCTGCTCGATTCCAAGGCGGCAGCTGCAGACGCCATCAAGCGCCATCAGGTAGCCGTGGAGGAGTGCGGCCACAAGCTCCGGGTGCTCCGCACGGACAACGGCGGCGAGTTCACGGTGGCCGAGTTCGTGGCGTACTGTGCCGACGAGGGGATTCAACGCCACTACGCGTCCTACTCACTGCAGCAGAACGACGTGGTCGAACACCGCAATCAGACAGTGGTGGCAACGGCACGCGCCCTCCTCAAGTAGCGCAGTATGCTGGCGGTCTACTGTGGGGAGGCCATGATGACCGCCGTACACCTACTCAACCGCTCGCCGACCAGTGCTCTCGACGGCAAGACACCATATGAGGCCTGGCACGGGCGCAAGCCAGCTGTCAGCTACCTGCGCGTCTTCGGCTGCCTCGCCTTCGTCAAGGAGCGGAACCACATAGGCAAGCTTGACGATCGCAGCTCGCCAGGGGTCTTCATCGGCTACGCAGAGGGGGCTAAGACCTACCGCGTGCTCGACCCTGTGACACGGCGCGTGCGCATGGCGCGCGACGTCGTGTTCGATGAAGGACGCGACTGGGCATGGGACAAGGCGGTGGACGACAGGTTGGCGGCCATGCTCCGCGACTTCACCGTTGAGTATGCGTGGGTGGGCGGTGCTGAGGGAGCACAAGGTGCATCCTCATCGATGTCTGGGTCTTCATCACCAGCGTCGACCACTTCATCAGCTCTGCCGCGCTTGCCATCACCACATCTGGGGGAGCTCGGCAGCCCATCAGTGGTGGTCGGCAACCCATCAGCGGTGGTCGGCAGCCCATCGGCGGCGATCGGGAGCTCATCGGCAGCAGCGCCGACCTCTCCAGCACCGCAGCCGACCTCTTCGGCGCACCAGACGACCACTCCGGTATCTTCTACTTCGCCCGCTGCGACACCAACGCACGCAGGGCAGCCGGGGGTCGAGTACGCGACGCCACTGGAGGATGATGAAGATCGCTGGACGCCTACTACGACAATGAGCCCCTTCGGTACCGCACGGTGGCAAACATCCTCGGAGAGCAGTCTCCACCAGCCCAGCCCGAGAGGCTCTTCGCTCAGCTACATTTGACGCACGCCGGTGAGCCGACCACTTATGTTGAGGCGCAGGGTGATCCGGCGTGGCGGTCGACGATGGAGCAGAAGCTCAAGTCCGTCGAGCAAAACCGCACCTGGGAGTTGGTGCCACTTGGACGGCCACCGCCCCATCACCCTGAAGTGGGTGTTCAAGCTCAAGAAGGACGTGCTGGGAGCGGTGACCAAGCACAAGGCGCGGCTGGTAGCACGCGGCTTCGTCCAGTAGGAGGGGATCGACTACGATGACACCTTCGCCCCCGTGGCGCGCATGGAATCAGTCCGTGTCCTCCTCACGCTGGCGGCTCAAGAGGGGTGGCAAGTCCACCACATGGACGTGAAGTCTGCCTTCCTCAACGGTGACCTCAAGGAGGAGGTCTATGTGCGCCAGCCACCTGGCTACGCCATCGCCGGAAAAGAGGGAAAGGTGTACCGCCTGCGCAAGGCACTCTATGGCCTACGCCAGGCACCGTGCGCCTGGAATGCGAAGCTCGACGCCACACTCAAGAAGATGGGCTTCAAGCAAAGCGCGCATGAGGCGGCGGTGTACTAGCGGGGCAGCGGACGCAATGTTCTACTGGTCGGCGTCTACGTCGGCGACCTCATCATCACCGGCGCTAAAGAGCAGAAGGTGGAGGTGTTCAAGGTGCAGATGAAGAAGGCGTTCGACATGAGCGACCTCGGCCTCCTCTGCTTCTACCTCGGCGTCGAAGTGCGCCAGGACACCGTCGGGTACATGAGCCGGTTCATGGAGCGGCCGATGATGGAGCATCTGCAGGCCGTCAAACGAATCCTGCGCTACGTGGCGGGCACCCTCGACTACGGTCTCCACTACGGAAGAGCCCCCAACATGGCGCGGTTCGTCGGCTACTGCAACAGCGACCTCGCCGGCGATGTGGATACCAGCAACGGCACGACCGGAATGATGTTCTTCCTCGGCGATTGCTTGTTCAGCTGGCAGTCCCTCAAGCAGAAGGTGGTGGCCCTCTCAAGCTGTGAAGCGAAGTACATTGCCACCACCACTGTAGCAACTCAGGCCTATGGCTGTCAAGGATGCTGGCAGAGCTCTTTGGCAGGAAGGTGGATGTGGTTGAGCTAAAGGTGGACAATAAGTCTGCTCTAGCTCTGGCCAAGAACCCTGTCTTCCATGAGAAAAGCAAGCACATCCGCATCAAATACCACTTCATCAGAGATTGCTTGGAGGATGGGAGCATCAAGGCCACCACATTGCCACTACTGATCAGCTGGCTGATATTCTCACCAAGTTGCTGGGGAAGTCTAAGTTCCAAGGGATGAGGGAGAGGATTGGGCTACAGCAGATCGCTTCCAATGCTCGGCACAAGGCTTAGGAGGAGAATGACAGATAAGCCTAGTACTCGGCAACACTTGTATCTTACTTTTCTGTATTTTACTTTCCTTGGCTTCCAAGCCTTTGTAATAGGAATATGCTCAACATCCACTTTAGTGGTTAGGAAATATGCTGGAGTAGGTAGAAAGTAGATGCTGCCCTCTGCCCATAAAAGCTAGGGCACACCCTTGTATCAGGACAAGCCATTGCATTTCCTTTCAATCCAAGCGGCCAAGGGATAAGCTGTCCTCTGCTAGTTCCCAAATCTGAATCGGAGATCTATTTTGGGCCAACAGTTCAGGGAATTAGGTGGACCTTTTTTGAAAGCATAGAGTCAAATGTACTTATTCCCTTAGAAACAGTATGTAGGTTTGAGCATTTTTTTTAATAAATTAGTTAAGAAGAGGAGCCAAATGTTATCCCATATATTTGATGCACCCATTTGGTTTGTAAGAGGCAGTACACCGGTACTACAGTCATACTTCATCTACTCACCAGTTCATTTTTTGGTTTTACAGGCACGTGCTTACCAAATTAGTGGCACAAAACTTGGAGTGCTGAAATCTGCTAATGAATCATTAACTCGAGTAGTCGTCTATGTATCCCTAATGGCGCTTTACATTCTTGGTGGCAGAAAAGTCAATGCGGTAAGCCACAGAATCGCTTGCATATATGTATTACTCTTTTTTTTTACATTAATTTCTCTTTGGTAAAAGCGGTGCACTTGTTGCCTCTGTTAGCATATAAGCTGGTGGTACAAAACGTTAAAACAAGTTGACAAGCACAGAAACCCTTCAGAAAGAGGTTCAACTCCTTGGTCATTCTAGTTGCCTGGGAAATTTGGAAAAACCTGCAACAATTGTCTTCAATGGAGCCAACTCGAATGTGGCTTCAGTGGTGAGGGCAGTGTCAGTTCAAGGCTCTTTCTGCTGTGCTACTCCAAAATGGAGCTCAGCTGTTTGGATGTTTGTGCTATGTGTCTAGTGAATTCCTAGTGTTTTAGATAACATCTGGCATATATGGTGATAAACATATTATCTTGCTAGACTCTGAAAATGCTTGAATCTTTGTTATAGATTACCATTAGTTTATATCTTTGTTTTCTGTGAGAACATCAATTTGCAACAATTGCATCATCAAAATGCTGATCTACTGTAGCAAATTCATTCGCTTGAGCGTGCTTGCAGCTTGTAGTGGAATGTACCTCTAGAAACAAAAAAAACTATATGTTTAAAGTGATTTGTTTGTCTTTTTTTATGGAGCACAATTTGTACCTATGTTAGGATTGTATGCATGGAGAAACTTTGTTGTAATAGTTATATAGTCATTTAGTACTCTATTTGTGTTTTGAAATTTCATTTGATTCTGTCAAGCTTGGATTGACTGGTCATGGAATAAAAAAGAATATGATGATTCACCATTTCAGGGCAAATTATCTGTTGGGACCATGGTGTCTTTTATTGGTTACACCTTCACATTAACCTTTGCTGTAAGTAGCAATTTTCAAGAACCTTTTGTAGTTTCATGTTATTTTATTTCATATTTAATTATGCTGATCATACATTTTAGGTTCAAGGAGCTGTTAATACCCTTAGTGATCTGCGTTCCACATTGGCTTCCGTAGAGAGAATAAATTCTGTTCTTTCAGCGAAGGACATTGATGATTCACTTGCGTATGGTTTAGCCAAAGAACTTGATGGCAAAGAGCTTGATGATTCCAATGGAATGTATGAAAATGGCTCTGTTAACAAACATTTCATGTCAGAGCTGAAATCATCCAGTAGCTGTAGTAATCTAGCCTGGTCTGGTGACATTCATCTGAAAGGTCTGTTTGTATTTATATCTAGGGCGCCCTTATATCTAAGCTTATACTATATTTCACCTTTCGTCTCCCTTATATGTTATTATTATTATTATTATATAGCATATTGTTCCTGAGCTTATGTGTCATGATTGAATATCCTCATAACTTAAAACTGTATCATTAGCTCATTTTTTTAATTTGTTTTCACCTTTATTTTGTCTAAAAAACATACTTAAGATGAAATATGTTAACAGATCAAATTTGTGAATAGTCAGGGTAACTTAAAATTGTGAATAGTCAGGGTAACTTAAATTTGTGAATAGTCAGGGTAACTTAACATTGTGTCATTAGCTCATCTTTATTAAATTTGATGAGAGCGATTCAATTTATTATTTTTTATGATTGTTTCTTTAATGTCAATAGTACGTGCAGCATGCAACCTCTAATGCAACATAACATTCTTGGATGACTTCAGTTCTACTCGCTCATGTAGTCATGTGTTTCTAGCAGAGATCCATTTCTCTTATCCACTGAGATCGGATGTGGAGATTTTAAATGGCCTTGACCTTACAATTGAGTGTGGAAAAGTCACAGCACTTGTCGGGCCTAGTGGTTCTGGGAAAAGCACAGTGGTGCAACTTCTAGCACGGTATTATGAGGTACTGTATCCTATATATAGTTATACTAATATTTTTTTCATTGTAGCAACATTTTGAGTGTTCTCCATTTTTGCAGCCAACTCAAGGTTCCATCACTGTCGCAGGAGAAGACATCCGTGTATTTGACAAAAGAGAATGGTCTCGAGTAGTATCTCTAGTGAATCAGGTATATCATTGCAATTTCCACACCATGTATTTTGTTGCTGTAACTATACATATTTCGAGGATATAAACTTCTTTGTCACTTGCTGTTATAAGATCGGCATAGGGTTGAACATGTTAGTCCATATCCATATGTAAAAGAATCTGAGTAACTAAAGCAATCAGACATTCAGCAGATTGACATAGGGCCTTCGAAGGTAGTTGCCACTCAAACTGGGTTGATTATGGCCTGATGGGCCCTTTTTTAGCTGACCTGATTGCCGCACATATATACAAGGCATTACGCCCCCCCTCCCCCTGGGTCCTAGAGCCCCTGTGAGTTGCATTTTCTGTACACATTGCCACTGGCTTTTAGGTGGTTTCTGGGAAACGGATAGGTTCAGCTGCTCTTTGTTCAGTTTGAAGTTTCATAGAGTGAAGAGTCCCAATACTTCAACTGCAGTTCAGTCATGCTTGCGTTTAGGTTATTTCCAGAAAATTTTGCCAATAGAAGCCACTTTTTATTTTGTTCAAGGAGATTCTGGCATGGAGCATCCCACACCAGACAAAGGGGCCAGTTTCTTTTGTCCTGTTGATCCACTAGGTTTGGCTTTGGCTACTATGATTTGAGCAATTGTTTTTTGTCTGCAAGGATTCAAATATTGAGAATGAGAGCACAGAAAAAGTTTCAATGTACCATCAGTGTATGCAAAGGATCGTTCTTATCAATGTTTTTTTTACTAATGATATGTGCAAATATATCCTGATTGACTGTGAAACTGTTATGAGTTTGGGGTCAGTTCTTGACATTTCATGTCAACCTGGAACTCTGTGGACAGGAGGGAACTCAAGACAACATAATAAAATAACTGCAGTTAGGATTTAACTTTCTTTTGCTAGCTACACTGTGGCTCCATGTGGTTAATTGTTCATATCCACCCTGACCCTACTGTTTTAGTGAGGACCCACCATAACAAAAAATAAAACCAATTGGTTTGTTATGAACTGCGCTCTCGTTGTATCATATTTTCACTATTTCAACCTACATCTATCATAGAAATTAGTAGGCATAGTTGTGTCTCATTGGCCATGCCATGTTTGAAACATGTTTTAATATGTAGAAGTAGCTATTTATTTTAAGTAGCTAGTGTTATGAGAAATTTATATTTTTCTTTCATGAAGGATCCGGTCCTATTCTCCGTGTCTGTTGGAGAAAATATTGCTTATGGTCTCCCAGATGATGTTGTCTCTAAGGATGAGATAATAAAAGCTGCTAAAGCTGCCAATGCTCATGAATTCATCATCTCTCTTCCACAGGTACGGAAATCTTTATCATTGGCTTTAGCCCAGCATTGATTGGCACTAGTTATCTTCAAGTCATATGCTAATATCATTGTTTGGTATTTTAGGGGTATGACACTCTTGTTGGAGAGCGAGGTGGTCTCCTAAGTGGGGGACAAAGGCAGGTAATCTGCTACAGTCACGTTTAAAGGAAGTTCATAATTATTCTGTAGCAAGGTTCATAATTCTGTTGTGAATGTACACTCTTATTTTTTGCTTTGCAGAGGATTGCAATTGCACGAGCCCTCTTGAAAAATGCTCCTATTCTAATACTTGATGAGGTATGCCATTCTTACATTTCAACTAGCTTTGTTATTCTTTATATTTTCCAAATATTGTATTAAGGATGCTAACTTAATTTTTTGTGGAGAAAAAAAAGTAAACTTAGGAAGGGAATTACGTGTGATTATCCACTTCTGTATTGTTCAGTTCATAAAATCGGTCATTCAGTTCATAAAATCGATCCATTGATGTGGCATAGGAGATAATAAAGATAAATTATAATTATGACCTGCCATTACCCATGCTTGGGTGGAATGTAGTCATTCAATGGGTAGAGCTTTAACAAACTGATCTTGAGGGAGATCAGTGTCGAAGGTCAGTAGTGGTGGAGCTTCAGCACAAATAACATAAATAAAGGAGGGGGCAGTAATGTGTAATCACTAGAATTAATGGTAGAAATGTATAATTAGCGACCAATAATTACTGTAACTCAGGGAGTCTGCAAATGGAGGGATTAATGGTAGAAATGTATAATTAGCTACCAATAATTACTGCACAAGCTAGATGGTTTGAGCTGACTGTATCGAATCATTGTTAAGTTGGGTCAAACATGTCTGCTGCAGTGGGTTTATTATGCAAATAGACGAGAAAAGGTAAGTAAATATGTCAAGAATGTTAAAGTGTCGGCACATGGATTCAGGTAACTCAAAACTATGAATACATTGATCCAGGGCAAAAAAGGACATAAACTTGAGTACATACTCAAAGTTTTGCAGGTCAAGGTTGCCGGTTATCAAGTGTCAACTTGAGAGTTTCTTTGGATGCTAAAACCAAGTTATCAAAGTGTCGCGTTTTTAACCTTTTGCAGTACTATAGATGGATGTCTGCCAATACTCTATGCTAATTACATGATAGATAAGCTTTCAATAGACAAATGTGGTGTAGATCAGCCTTAATCTTTTAAAAAGTTTGAAAATAATGAATCTTTAATAAAATGGCACATATTGGTGGTAGTTCATGATGCTCCATTCCAAAATCTGAAACCTAGTTTTATCCTAAGCCAAACTTTTCAAACCTTAACCAGTAAATTTGTAGGAAAAATATTTGACAGTGGAGTAAATGCACTCTCAGGACATTTCATAGTGAATTTAATGAAACTGATCTGTGTAATATATGTTAGTATTTTTTTATAAACCATTTTATAAACTTGGTTAAAGTTAGAAAGCTTTAGCTTGTAACAAAACTAAAACGACATATATTTCAGAACGTGGTATTTCTCCTTCACTGCGAATACACCGAGCCTACCTATGAACTTATGTTATTTGCAGGCTACTAGTGCACTGGACGCGACAAGTGAGCGGTTTGTGCAGGAAGCTCTCAATCACTTGATGAAGGGAAGGACTTCTCTGGTCATTGCTCACAGGCTGAGTACCGTACAGAATGCACATCGAATTGCTGTTTGCTCGGAGGGCAGGATAACTGAGCTGGGGACGCACGGAGAACTGGTTGCTAAGGGGGCAGTTACGCATCACTTGTCGGGACACAAAGACTTGCTTTCGAGTAATGACACGTCAACCACCGAGGCACGGTTCGACTGCACTGTAGGGGATTCTATATTACTCTATTTTTCTTCAAGGCCCTTTGGAGCATAGGAATTCTCATGGAAATCATAATGCATTTCACATGAATCAATTCATTTTCATAGGTAAATAGAAAACAGAAAAATCCACATTCTGAATGTGGCCTTTGTTATAGTTGTATCTATAAAAAATGGGGTTATAGTTTGTTTTTTATCCACAGAAACAATACGGGCCTGTTTGCTTTCCTGCGTTAGTTGAAGTCTGATTGGAGTCTGGTTAGACTAAGCCTGTCCCCAGCAAACTAACATGGGTTTGTTTGGTTGGACTGCTATCCCTAACCTGGTTTCCATAAGAGTGGTTTCCATAAGAGTTTGTTTGCTCGCTTGCTTCGTCTTGGAATCACTAGGTCTTGTGCCTGGTAAGGTTATCCTTTGAAGCATTCTATCAAAGGTTGGTAATCTCTGTCACGGTGACAAGAAGCAGCAGCAGGAAGATGAGAGGTGCCTTGCATCAAGAGGCCGCGACAGCAGCGCCGGCGGCGGTGTTCCCGCGGCCTAGGCGCAGTCGAAGCCACACTGGCAGCGCGGGCTCTTGGCGAAGTTCTCCCATGGAAACGACGCGGCGACCGGGCCAACGAGGAAGCTGAGCTGGTCCCTGGCGTGGTCCACCTCGGTGATGCCGAGCCACACGAACAGCCCACCTTCACGCTCATGCCCTGCAGTGCCTGGATGGAGCCTTCCTGCGCCGTCCCGGAGATGCGGTGGTCGTACCGGAGCAGGTACTGGTTGCCGACGCGGCACTTGCAGGTGCGGCCCGAGAGGAACACCTCGAAGGAGCCGTCGTCGGGGCGGAGCCTCCCGGAGGATGCCGCACGGGAAATCCCGAGGCCAAGGCGCGGGCGAGGAGCAGGCCGCGGCTCGCATGGTGTCTGTATAGATGGCCATTCGGGTCGTCCGGCCCGGCACGGCACGAGCCCGTCAGGTGCACCGGGCCGTGCCGTGCCAGCCCACGGGCTGCACCTACGACCTAGGCACGACCCTTTAAGGCGCGGCCCGTCGGCACGCCGAGCCCGCCGCGCCTGAGGCCGCCCAAGCGCGCTGGCCTTTGCGTGCGAGCGCATCCTGTTCCGTCGCCGCCGCGCGCAGGCCTCCGGGCGTCAGGGCACATGTGGATCTGCGCCGCTCGCTGGCCGCCGCAGGTGTGCCCTGCTCCGCCATCGCCATAGCCTTGCGCCGCTCGCTGGCCGCCTCGGATGCGCCCTACTCCGCCGTTGCCATGGCCTCGCGCCGCTCACTAGTGCCGGTGGGAGGAGGGGGCAAGAGTCTGGTGGTACGCGAGGGAGGGAGGATGTCGAGAGGCGATGAAAGTTGTGGTCGAACTCGCAATGGAAGTGCGACCGCGTGAGGGAAGGGAAGTCTCGCGAACTCGGAAAGAGAGCCGAAGGGGTGGCGCAGGTGTGAGGAGTACTATTGGGCAGCTAGGGTTTACAGTTTGGCAGATATTTTATATATGTGATGTATAACCGAGCTGGGCTGGGCCGGCATGCTGGGCCAGGGGAGCGGCTCAGGCACGGCCCTAGCATCGGGCTAGGCTGGCACGGGCCCGCCAACCATCGTGCTGTGCCATGCCTTGGCCGGGCCAAATCACCGGGCCATGGGCCTCGGGCCATATGGCCACTATAGGTGGCCGGTGGAGTGGTGGCCGGCGGGAGCTTCAGTGGAGTGGTGGCCAGTGGGAGTTCTGGTGGAGTGGTGGCGCCGTCAACGTCGACCTCCTCATGTCGTCACACACTCACGCAACGCACCAAGCGGAGGTGACTGCAATGCCATCCGGATGCTTGGCGAGCCACGTTTTTTGGGATCCAGGCTAAGGGGGTACTTTGGCTAGCGGGAGCCAGACTAATGTCCATCTACAGCCAACCAAACAAGCCCATCTTGGCTTCAGGGAACCAGGCCAGGAGTTAGCCACCCAACCAAACACACCTTACATGAATGAGAAAACACATGTATCGAAGTTGATAATAATAACCTAAATAAAGGACAACAAACTTCTTATCCTCCCTTGCATTTCTGATTTATTACTTTTCTATATCATGACAAGATATATCAACAATAATTGACAATACTCAACTCAATGTTTGAAGTTAAGGAGATGGAAGGTACTGTGAAAACATCGCGTGTGGTTGGAGCCTTTCCTTATCACATTCTTCACAAATCACAAGCATAAGAACATAGTAGACAAAACATGTAGGTGGAGCTTTTATCTATTCCTCAAATTGATGTGTTACAACGGGTACTCCTCATCTATAGTCCATTATTCAGGGGCGTTAAGGGATAAGTTTGGTAAAACAACCGAGCCCACGTCTCAACGTTTAAACGGGCTATGTGGTAAGAGCCAACTATCCTCTATAGTCCTCCTCGGGATAAGGGATAAGTTTGGTAAGAGCCCACGTCAACCAGATATGTGGTAAGAGCCCGCTATCCTGTTTCCTCAGTTGTAAGCACATCACTGAGTACCAGTAGATATGTCTTTTTCATTCCCGAAAATCCATACATAAATCCCGTTTGGTAATGGCTTCATTTCCACTTCCAAGTATTTTGGTTCATCTTTCATCTAAATCCTCAATAGGTTTGATGTAATTTTCATTTTCTAGATATTCTTCTGGAGGTTCTAATTCCTCTAATGTAGTGATAATATCATCTTGAAGAACACCATCTTTAATCTACTCTTCAAATACCCATTGTGGAGGATCCCTGCATGATTTAACAACAAAAAGCACTCTCTACTTATTACTAGGAGTGAGTGCTAAAGGTTGTCTAGAAGAGTGACTTTATGCTATGTTTGCATGAATAAAGGTTGTCTTATGAATTAATGATGATTATAAAGCTTAAATACTAATATTCTCTTGTGGTTAGCACTGCTACCTATATTAGATCTAACTTCAAGCTCTACGGGTTTCTCCGGTGGTCATCTGAAACCGACCCATCATCCTTGCTGGATCTTCGTGGGTCGACTCAAACGACTGGAGAAAGCCGAGTCAAGCAGGAGAGAGAAAGAATCGACTCAACATATAGAGTCGACTTGTCGCTGTTAAAATATCCATAGGTCCACTTCGTAGGAGAGAAAACAACTTGGGTTGTGAGTCCTACAATTGCATGCATGACGGATTAGAGGCTGCATTAACTGTGCGTTCGTTTTTTTTCTATATTTTATGCGGGCCTGCAGTACAATTTTGCAAGAAATTGACTTAGTCTCTGTGATGAGGTGGCACTCTTTCTCCACGACCAGTCAGACCCACCACTGCGGGTGCCCTACCACCGATCTTGAGGGATATGGGTGTAGGGTTTAAATGACCATTTATGTTATCATAATACTTGAGAGAGCTGTCTACGATCTAAAATCCTCACTTTTAATAAAATACAAAATGAGAATTAATAAAAGTTACAATGAACACAAGACATTCAACTTGAAGATATTTTTTTTGTAGCAACTAATGAGATGAAAAAAACAAAATCTAGACCAACATCATCATGAGGCATGAGCTGAAACAACAATCACGATAAGTTTTTTTTGTTGAACTATGTGTGTGTTATTTCATTAAGATAGAAAAAGATACAAATGAGTCTAGTTTAGAAAGAACCCAGACTCGAGGTCCCAGCAAACACATATGGCAGACTATGCCGGTGACTAAGAAAATGGAAAACACGACCACTCAACCGCATTGGTGATTAAAACCAGGGTCGGTGACCTTGCTAAGAGGTCATCAAGCTTTGAAGTGCCCACCATGCACCAGAGACTATGTCCATCCCCCAGGTTTGTAAAAGCTCTTGAATGTTGTTTGGCAATGCTCCCTCAAACACACAAGGGATGGATAACTAGTGGTGATAATTAAGGTTATGATGCTAGTTTGAAATTGCAGGCGAAAAACAGAGGAGCCTCCGGTGACCGGCGACGACGTCTCCGGTGAGAATCCCCCGCACAAAAGTAGGAGATTCAATTCGGGGCTCGACGCCGCTTCGATCCACCGAGGTATTTTCTCGTTCCTCCTCCCTGGCGGGTGTTCTGACGAGGCGTAGGTGTGGCTCTGACCGGTGTAGAGGTGGTTGGGCTCTTAATCTGGTGGCGTGTTTTTCTTCGATAGAGGTGGTGTGGTATGGAGAGACATCGATACACTCTCGCTTTCGCGGGTGGTGCGGACTCGTTGGCGAGTCAGAGATGGAGTTCCATATGCGGAGGCGGGGCAGTTCAACCAACCTCGTCGTATGACCCAATGGGATCGTGGCAGGGAGCGGAAACATGTTGAGGATGAAATCAAGAGGTCCCTGTTCAAATCTTCGGAATTAGAGTGTATCGAAGAAGCAAAGCTTCGAGAATCGGCGGATGCTTTGGAAGCTGCCATAGCTAGGATATCGTCCTTTCGGTGGGAAAGAGAGCGAGAGGTTGAAGACAAGTCCGAACAAGGAAATGGGGCACCTAGTGGGCTGGCCCAGTCAGGTCTTTCTATATTAGACTTTGTTCTCTCACTTGTACAATCCACCCCCATCAAGAACTAGGGTTCTGGAGGCGCCGACGGAAGGCTACCTGGCCAGCAAGGAAAGATCCGAAGGTTTGGTGGAAAGGCTCGCAAGATCGCATCGGCCGAGGTAAAGCTCATCGATTCCCGTTCATTTGCTGAGGTAGTTGGTATGGATCGTTGCTTCAATGGTAGAGGTGGTGGGAGAGGCATGGGATTTTAGAGGGATGAGGCAGGGAGAGGTGGTCGTGATGGAGGAGGGTGTGATGGCCATGATGGATGGAGGGGTCGGGATGGATCATATAGAGAGGATGAGTGGAATAGGAATTAGAACCAGAGGCATTTTGATGCTAGAGATGGTGGATATAGGGGTTATGACAGAGGGGGAAACTACTATGAAGATGAGAGAGTTGGTGGCAGGGGTTACAAGAGAAGGAATGATGATGATGATGGTTATAGAGACAGAAGATGATCTTAGATATAAGCTTGTCCATGATCGGTTGAGGTGGTTTGGCCATGTCCAATGGAGACCTCCAGAGGCACCAGTGCATTGTGGAGTCCTAAGCCAAGCTAATAATATGAGGAGAGGTAGAGGAAGACCAAAATTGATATGGGGGAGGCAATAAAAAGAGATTTGAAAGCTTGGGATATACCTAGAGATCTATGTTTGAATATGAGTACTTGAAAAGCAGCTATTGAAGTGCCTAAACCGTGACTTGGGGCTCTTGGTGGGTTTGAGCTCTAGCCTACCCCAACTTACTTGGGACTAAAAGGCTATGTTGTTGTTGTTGTTGTTGTTGGGATCAGGATGAAAGAGGTGGTGGCAGATTGCCAGAAGAGAGGTGTTTTCGCTATGGTGAGAAAGGGCACCATAGATCTCACTGTCCTAATCCTCCCCTATGCTACAACTGCAAAACCTCGGGTCATATGGCACCAAATTGCCCCTTCAAGGATGATAAAAGATTGAAGTTGTGTAGTTATGGATTACCTGGACAGATGTTTTATAGCTTACATGTGCCAATTGAAGAAGAAAATGTTGTCGAGATGCCCATTACTGCTGTTATGAAAGTGTTGGAAGGAAAGGGCCCAATGTCTAGAATCACCACAGAACTCCAATATCTTCTCAATCCCTCTTGGGACTGGCAGGTGAAGAGGATTGCTGCTAATGAATATATGTCCATGGTGCCTTCAGCTAAGGATTTGGAGTTTCTCACCAGGTTTAGAGAGTTCAAGGGCAAGATCACTGATATGACAGTCTCTGTTGAGAAATCTGATTTCATGGTTGGTTGTTGTGACCTCCTCTCTCAGGTATGGGTTCAAGTGTGTGGGTTTCAATACTAAGCCAGGAAAGAGGAGGCCGTTGAAGGGGTGTCATATCTGGTTGGAGATTTTATAGAGGTGGATAAGAAATCTCTGCCAGGGCTAGGTCCCATAAGATTAAAGGTAGCATGCAGAGACCCATCATCTATCAAAGGCTCATCTAGAGTGTACTTCAATGGAAGGGGTTTCCACATCAGTTGGAACCTAGAATCTAACAAGAATTCCAAGAGGCCAGTGCCTACAAATGACATTGGGAAGAAGAAGGATGATGACGAGGCACGGGAGGATGATGGCGATGAGGATTCTGATAGCTATGATCCCTGGGCAGATCTTAGGAAGAATTCACAAGAGCAACCCAAAGAGATCCCTAAGTCTAGCAAACAAGGTAAGCAGAGAGGTGCTAAGTAGATTTATGGGGAAGTGACAGTTGATAAAGATGACACTGAAAATGGAGAAGATGCTCCAGTAGGAATAGAGATCATCACGCAATCCTCTTTTCCTGAACAGGTTGCTGTTGCTCATGAAAGGATCAAGATGCCCAAGAGGGGGGTGAATTGGGCTAATTCTAAATTTTTGCAATAATTAAGCTTTACACTTAGCCCATTTCACCCCTTGTGTCTAAAATGTGTTTCTATTGTTCTCCCATACAAAAGTTTGGTACCCTAGGTTCCAATCCTACTCTAGCATGGCAATTCTAGGAATGTAAAGACATAAAATGAATTGCTCAAATGTAAATGCTCAAAGTAAAGAGAGGGAAAGAAACATTGTGATGTTTTCCCAAGATATCGGAGAGTCGCCACTCCCCACTAGTCCCCGTTGGAGCACCCGCGCAAGGGTGTAACTCCCCCTTGATCCGTGCAAGGATCAAGTGCTCTCTACGGGTTGATTCTTTGACACTCCGTCACGGTGAATCGCCCACAACCGCTCACAAAGTGACTTGGGTCATCCACACACTCCACTAGATGATCACCAAGCTCCCAATCACCACTGAGCCGTCTAGGTGATGGCGATCACCAAGAGTAACAAGCACAAACTCTCACTTGACCAAGACAAGCCTAATGAGTAAGGTGGATGCACACTTGCTACTCCCTTTGCACTAATGAGGTCCTTAATCTTGGATTATCAAATCTCAATCACCCCAATAGGCTCTTGCTCTCCCTTGCACTCCAAAGGTGTTTTAAAGCTGAACAAATGGGCAAGAGACCTCAAATGGACGAGTGAGATATGTATCTATACCCCCCATTCAAAATATAACGGTTGAGGTCCAACTCAGCAAGTATCGGGATGACCGGACGCACCGGTCAGTGTAATACATCAGCGTGTCTGAAAGAGCCATTTGCTCTGACTGGACTCTGGCCTGCATCCGATCAGTCCCCATCCGACGCGTCCGGGCATCAAAAACCCTCTCTAGAACCTTACTGATGTTGACTGGACGCTGGCACCTAGAGTCCGATCACTTCTCTGTTCAACATTTGGTCCGTGGTCAACAGCCTATCCACGCTGCTACAGATATTGCTAGCGTCGTGTCCGATGAGCACTGGTGTCCAGCGTCCGATCGCACTCTGATAGCTGTTGCCGATCAAATGAACTGACCAGACCCTCCAAGCTGCATCCGGTCACAACCAAACTAGCGTCCGATCAGTCATTTGACTCCATTCACTTCCAATTCGAAATTCTTTGTGAATGAAGTTGACTTCTATCGATCTTAGGGCTATTCCTTAGCTACCTAGTGCTAAGTTTGACAAGTGTGCACCACACCCAATCCATTAGACTCACCTAGGTCAAGCTACTAGTCTATACCCCCCTTAATAGTATGGCCAAAGGAAAAACAAAGTCCTAAACTACTCTAAGTGTCTCTCCAACACCAAACGACACTTAGAACTAGTCCGTCCTTAACCTTATCGTCCATCCTTTGAAAACCGAAACGATTTCCATCGATAGGGGCATAACAACCATGATTGCCCAATCAATTTTCATTACCATGACCTAACTCAAATTACCTCTACAAAACACATGTTAGTCATAGTAATCTCGTGTCGTCATTAATCACCGAAACCAAACTGGGGCCTAGATGCTTTTAATCTCTCCCTTTTTGGTGATTGATGACAACACAACCTCAAGTATGTAAAAGATATGAGTGATGTTTTCAACATGCTTGGTTCATATAAGCTTTTGACAATAAGAACAAAAGAATTAGGCATGCTTATATGACCCAAGCCAACATGGTGTACTCAAAAGATATGAATTAAATATGAGTACATGTAGTAAAGCTCATTTGAATCGGAGTAAAATGCGGAAGCAAAGCCAATGAGCATAACCAAGTGACATGACATATATAAAACAATGTAGAGAACACACATGTCACATAAGTCTCACTATCACATGTATATAATACAATGCATGAAAGTAAACGTGAATGCAAGTGGTATCACACACGAAATACCAAAAGAATCGAGTCCAACTCACACACTCCCCCTAAATCTAACATACTCGGTCCCTCTCCCCTTTGGCGTCAAGCACCAAAACCTAAAGGTCGAACGGTGGGACAGGAGCAGTCGAGTTGGGCACTGAGGTGCGGTGAGAGACATGGAACTAAGCTACATCATCCTCTAACCCTAAACTCTGAGGGGTCTGACCCTCTGTAGCTAGAAGTGAAGGTGAAACAGTCTGGGTCTGGACAGTAACTGGTGCGGCCTGTGGCTCTGCAGGTGTCACTGTAGGAAGGGGAGCCACATATGTCGTTGTCATTGTCACTGAAGCCTCAAGTGTAGGAGTGACTGTCTGAGGTGGCGGATGATGCAATAGACGACAGAATCATCTCAGTAGTCCCAGTAACTGGAGCAGCTGAGGTAGGGATAGGGACTTGGAACACTAAAGGTGTAGGCTGCCCTATAAGCTCACTGAAGGTAGCATTGAGACTCCTAGAGACTGGGGTGTCCATCACTAACGCCAAAGAAGTTTGAGTCGGAGTGAAGCCTATAACAATAGGAGTAAAGTGCGGACCCTGAGCTATCCCTGGTGAAGCAAACCACTAAGACACCTGCTCTATAGGTGAGGCAAACTGAGGAGCTAGCTATCTCTGACTCGAAAGCCCACTGTGTTGTACAGCTGGAGTCACTGGAGTGGTGGTGGCAGGCTGGCCTATCGAAAAAGTAGACTGCTGAGGATCAACCCCAATAGTAGTGAATACATGCTGCATGAAACCGAGTAACTGCTTCTGAATCATAAGCTGCTTGCATGGCCTCCTGCTACCATTGAAACTCATCCTATCATGTCTGAACTTGAGCAAGTGCATCTATGGTCTCCTATGCCTGACATGCCTGGTCCTGCCTCATCCGCTCAAATACTGCTAGTAGTGCTGGGTCTGTCTGCAGGGGGCTATGGTGGAGCTGAGCTGGAGCCACTAGCCTCTCTATTGTGTGGATGAGGTACCATCTGTGGAATCAGCTGATGGTCACCGTCTGAGCTGTCACTCGGGTCACTTTCTACCTCATCTTCCTGACTGTGTATTAAGCTGACTCCTCCATCTCTGCGATGCCTCTGATAATCTCATCCTGCTGTCTCTGGTACCTCTAGGCGACGACTAGGCTGGCGAGGTGTCCTCGCACGACTGTGATGTAGCATCTGGCTCAAGTCATATTGTGGAAACTCAGTAGTAGCACCTGTCCACTCTGCCATTGTCTCTAGGGACTTGTGTGTAACTATCTTTCAGAGTAAGAAAGTGATCCAATGAGCATAAGGCAGCTGATGGTGACCTCTGAAGCCCTTTGCTAGTGTGTCCTCCATCTCTGAAAGCATCACATCCCAAATATCAAAGACAGTTAGAGACACTAGGTAATACACTAGCCACAGCTGAATTCGAGTTAGGCCCTCGTGGTAGCACATCCTCGGAAGCAGAGTCCTCATAATAGCATCAAGGAGGCGAGCTATAGGTGTAAGGTCACGTGGTGTCCTGCTCGACCCCTCGCCAAACGGCTATGTGAAGCATGGTCTAACAAAGATCTGTAGGTGGCACAAGTCCGCCATGAGGCGTCTCGGAGGCTCTGTCTGTCCATAGCATACCTCATGAAGACAAATAGGTGACTCTAGAATCCTCAGTATCTCTCTGACCCTCGAGCTCTGGAGCCTGTAGTCATGCCCTCGGAAAGCAAAATGAATAAACCTATGTCTCGGGTCAATCCACAAGGAGAAGTAGAACTCACGGACCCAAGATGGAACATACCGACCAGTCCATCAAGGAGATCTAACAAGCCTGGCAGATAACTGAGGTGAGGACGGATCTTCTCTCCTACAAGTGCAACTAGAGACTCTAAGGGGTAGACCCGCTAAGATCTAAAAGCAACACCGCTGTTGAGATATGCACTATAGAAGTCCTCCTGCAGCACAGTGTAGAAGTGCTCTGAGGCACGCTCATCCCGCCTCGGCCGAAACCAATCCTCATACTGTATGAACCATAGCTGCTTGCACCTATCTGGCTGTGGCTGCCCTCAGGTCAAGGTGAAACCACTGGAGGTGGACCCTCTGGTCTAGGAGGTGGACGAGAGCCCCTCCTCTATGTTTGAGGCTCGGTGACACCTAAGTGCGTGTGCGACTAGAACATCAAAGCTGTGGCTGTGCTGCCTTCTCTGTCTCCTCAACCTGCTCTCCCTGTTGAGTGTCCTCTGTCTGCTCTGCCGTCTATGTCTGCTGCTCAGTCACCCCCTGAGTCTGACTCTCATCTAAAGAGACATGCTGTCCTCCAAGCATGATGGTCCCGGGTGGACTACCAAGATTAGCCTCAATCCTCTCGATGGCGACCCTCTAGCCGGTGACAACTGATCGCCTATGCAAATGCCACTACCAAATCCACCTATCTCGGCTCACTCTGCGGCTACCACTGTTGTTGCTCTCTCTGCCTCAACATCATCGAACTTGCGCTTCTTCTTTATAGTCTTTTTTGCCTTTCCTTTTTGTTGAGTAATCGGTAGGCGGGGCCTTGGATTCTCATCGCCGGGACCACCCCCTACGTTCTTGCAACGAGCCATCTCTGAAGCTGACAAGAATCACTACCACTGATAAGGAACAACTGTCGACTGACACTAGTGAGGCTTGGCCTCAATCCATACTCACAGGCTTGGCCTCGAGCAAATCTGTCAACTGCCCAACTGCCAAGCAGACTCACTGCCCGAACTGACTGCACAATAGAATAGAAAGTACATATATAAGCAACTTTATATACTAGGGAAGTGAATGACCTAATGGAAAGCAAGCAGTAGGAAAGTAATGAGCGAATATGGCTTGCTACCTTAGAACAATCCCGAGATGTGCGAAGGGATAAGTTGTTGATCACAGGGACACCACACGGGAACGACAATAGCACCTTAGGGTTAGGGTAGGTGCCGCGAAGCAGTGCGGTGGCCTAGAAGGCG